ACTCAATAAGGTTCACTCCCTGATCATCATGAAGAGCCTGAAGGTAAAACATGGAACCAATAAAAGCTGCACCTGAAGCAGAGAAAACATACCATGAAACCCCAAATCCATTAGCTACATCTTTCATCCCAGTAGCAAACGTATCAAAAATAAACCCAGCAAGTTGAGGTGAGTCCGGACTCAACTGGGACTGAGTTCTCATCTTCGAAACATATTCTTCGACATGGGGTTTTTGGCTTTCAATCATAGAAGTGAGCCAGTTACGGTCTTTAGTATCTTCTGTATTGGACTCAAGATTCGGCAAGTTAACGACTCGCATACGATCAGGCAGAGTTGATGCAGCAAGTGACTCGGTGTATTTGGTGGTGCTGGGATCAAGAGCTGGATGCATTATGATGACAGTGGTGGAAAGCCTGTCATCACGTTGAACAAGAAGCTTAGCTACCTCTACCAGGGCCACAATATGACCCATTGCAGGTACGGGGATTAACACCACGCCTGCTTTCTTCATTTTTTTTCTTGAAAAATGAAAATTTTAAGTAGAGAGGGACAAGGCGCGCTCTAAATAAATAGATAGATAGATCCAAAAACGCCCAACACATCCCAATATAAATTAGAGTGATGTCATTGCTTACCTAGCTGTGAAATTAATTTCTAGAAAAAGACTGGAATATAAATTAATAATTATTAAAGTTCTAGAAGATAAGTGCTCATCGGATCGTCATGTTCCCATGGGGAAAAAGAAGAAGAAATCAATGATTCCAGTTACAGGTGTTCCAATATTAAAATGAGAAGGTTCGGTTTATATATTGCTAGAATTATATATTTAAATATGTTTAATTAATTATATGATCTCACTATTTTTTTTAAAAAAACATTGATTAAAAAAATACTTAATTATAAGGTTTTTTAAACATTTATTTTCAAATTACAAACCCAAAAGATATACCACAGTACTTAAAACATATTCTATGTCTGAAACTCTAGCATCTAAGATTGGTTTCTTTAAAACAAGTTGCTCCAATCTTCTGAGCTTTCACTAATTTACTAAATTTGCAATCTCTAAGATTTTAGATGCACGCTTAATAAAAAAAAACACTTAATTTTAAATCAATTTAATATTAAAAAATAAAAATATATATTAATTTAAAAATTTTATCAAAATATAAAATAAAAATAACAATGATAAAATAATGATAAAATTTGATAGGAAAAACTTAAAAATAATGAAATTATATAAAAAAATTAATTTTAAAAATTATTTTAAATAAAATAAATAATAATAATAAAATATGAATCTGATAGATAAAAAAATAAACGAGGATGAAATTAATCAAAAAAATTCATTTTATAAATAATTTAAAAAAAATGACCAAATATAAAAGAAAAACAAATTGAAAGAATATTTTAAAAATTTAAAGGGTTATATACAGTAATCAAGGAGAAGAGTTAAAAGAAGGGAAGAAATAGAAAAAAGATTATCGACATCAAATTAAAGATCAATAAGCCATAAATATTGTTTAGGAATGGAGCATCTCAAAAGCCACTGTTTGGTTGCCTAATGCCTCTTTACTCACGTTCTGAATGGTGCATAAACAATCAACACAATGAGACGTGTAATGTACGTAACAAGTATCTTTTTAAATAATATTTATATTTATAAAATTATTAAATTGACCTTTAATTAACAACTTGATTGTAACATAAAAAAAATCATGATGAAAATATGAAAACATCCATGGATGCTAGTGAAAAAAAATCTTATTTTTAATAGTAATTGAATCATTTTATTATGATTGAAAAAATAAAAATAAAAAAAATGTCAACTAATACTGGTTATTTTTTTTTATTTTAAAAATAATATTATTATCTCACTATGCTTTAAAAATATGAAAATATCTATTGATCACCTATCAATGATAGTAAATAAGAGATACTTGTGAAAAGATCATATTATCTTGAATAGTTAATTATTTATTTATTTTTTAAAAGGATAAAAATGAATTGCTATAATAAATAACCACAAGTTTTAGATTTTCTTTTAATGTTAATGCTCTTATCAGCACTCAACAATCTCCCTATCCAGTAAAATATCTTCTATAATCCATTTTAAGCTTCACTACTAATCCCAATTCAATAACCATGTTAAAAGCATTAGGTTGTTGTTCTGTACATGTTCAATCACAACAATCTCCTTATCACCATTAGAAGCTTATGCTAATGTTTGAATAGATTAAACTAAATCTTTACGAAATCACTATATGATAAAGCTTTGGGTTTTTATTGTTTCATGGCACATGTACAGTGTCTCCCGCAATGATCATATCTTTAATCAAACGACTCAATGAGGAGAACGAAGATCCACCTTCCATCATAGCTTTTCTACTCTTCTCACTCAATTCTTTCAGCCTTTTCAATTTATGGCCATCATGCTCCATGCCACTCTTTATTCCTCTCTCAATTTCCTTAGCACCCAAAGTAATTTCATTGCCAGTCAAAAACTCTCTTCTATAATCCATTTTGATTTCCACTGCCAGTCCCAACTCAACCACTACTTCAAAAGCATTAAATTGTTGTTCTGCATACATCGGCCATGTAGCAAGGGGAACACCAAACCACACACTCTCTAGTATAGAATTCCATCCGCAATGTGATATAAATTCTCTGATGGAAGGATGAGCCAAGACATCCACTTGTGGTGCCCATGCAATAACCTTTCCAATCTTCGCTGTTCGATCCAAGAATCCATCTGGAAGGACTTCTTGTTGATATGCATGATCAACTAAGAAACCGATCTCTCCCTCTGATGGAGGTTTGCGCAAGGACCACAAGAATCGATGTCCACTATGTTCTAGTGCCAACGCGATCTCTTTCACTTGATCCACGCTGAAACTTCCCATGCTCCCGAAACAGAGGAACACCACCGAGGACGGAGGCTGATCATCGAGCCATAGCATGATGTCCCTATTGCTGTTGCTTCCATCTGAACCCACATCATAGGCATCACCCTTGAGATTCAAAATCGGTCCTACTTGATAAACAGCAGGGCCTTCACTGTTAGAAAGACACTTAACAGCATGAGATTCCACCTCTTCACATGTATTGAGAATAATACCCTTAGCTTCTCTAAACCTTCTTACAAGGTAAAGAACAACAGGAAGTGTGTCTTTGCTGAGCATGACCGAAGGGAAAACCTTAACAGGAAGTGGGTTCACCAAAGTCGGTATTTCAAACTCAGCATCCACGTCCTTTAACTCAGTAAGGTCCACTTCCTGCTTATCATGAAGATCCTGCATATGAAACTGGAAACCAAGAAAAGCAGCACTTGATGTGAAGTAAATGTAAGAAGGGACACCAAATTCATTGGCCACATCAATCATTCCTGCACAAAACATGTCAAGAACAAAGCATGCAAGTCGAGGGGGCTTGGGGTTTAACTCTGACGGAGTTAGGAGCTTGGAAACAAATTCTTTGACATGGGGTTTCTGGCTTTCAATCAAAGAAGTGATAAACTTAGAGGGATGATCATTTGATGTGTTGGTTTTATCACTAGGTAGGTCAATGAATTGGATACGAGTGGATTTGGAAGAAGCAGTGAGTGACTCAGTGTACCTGCTGATTTTGGAGTCTAAAGCTAGCCTAATGATGATAACAGTGATGGAAACTCTGTCATCACGATCAACAAGGAGTTTTGCTAACTCCATCATTGAAGCAAAGTGGCCAATACCCGGGGAAGGTACAAGCACCAGCTCCGCTTTTTTCATTTTGCTAAAAATTCGGCTACAAGAGATTTTGTGATGCGCGTAGAAGGTAATGAATTTGTGGTGCTTAGAGCTGGATCCCTGTTTTTGTGGTGCTTAGAGTTGGATCCCTGTTTATACGCGTGGCGATTCTGCCAACCAAATTTAAGGATTGGAAGGATACAAGAGAGAATAGGAAGGATTTTTATAAACCTTCCAGCTCCTATTCGAGGTGTGGAGGAGGACACGATTAAGTCTTATAATTTTTTTGTCTCATTTTTCCTTTGTTAACATTTTTTTTTGTAATTTAAAATCTATAAATCTATATTAGAAGTCTAAATAAAAAAAATTTAAAATCTATAAATCTATATTAGAAATCTAAATAAAAAAGTATGTGGTTTATAGTTATAATTAAATACAGTTTTGTAATTTTAAAATTAAACTTGGCTTAACAACTGCATACCTTACCCAGCTCTGCCATGACTTTCCCTCGCCCAGACCACAGATGGTACTAGAGGAAGGTATGGTTTAGAATCAAACACGTTGAGATGGTTAGTTAGCTTAGATGGTGCTATTAATTTTCCAACTTTCCCTCATACATCATGAATCATGATGCTTTTTGGGCAGACGTTGAGTGCTGAGACTTGGACATGTTCACTGAAATGTAAATAGTTGCAGTAGAGAAAAAGGCGGGGTTTCACAAAGCATAGGAAAACCACTGGCTATGGAGGTTGATCATCAAGCCATTCCATGATACAAAGGAGGGGTTTTACCATCCGAAAAGGCGTTGATTACATGGGATTCAAGCTCCATTAATGTCTTTACCACAATACCTCTTGCTTCTTGATACCTTCTTGCATTGCCTAAGTAAATAGGATGCCAGTCTTTGTTAAACACAACAGAAGGCAAAACATTTGAAGGAACCGCGTTAATAATAACTGGCAACATGAACTCAGCATCTGAGTCCTTAAACTTGTTGGCGTCCACACTCTTCTTGTCATTAAGAGATGCATACAAGTTAGTGATTGTTTATCTGGTTCAACCATATTTTTCAAAAAATTAGTTTTTTTAATGTTTTTGGATCATTTTCATATGTTAATATTAAAAATAAAATTTAAAAATAATAATAAAATATTATTTGAATAAAAACAAAACACTTTAAAAAACAACCTCCACCACAATCTCACAAACATGCTCAAAGCATAAGACTGAAAACAGCTGCACTTGATGCTTAGAAAACATATGAAGGAACACCAAATTCGTTAGCCATGTCTATCATTGTTGTATAGAACATGCCAACAACAAATCCAGCAAGTTGAGGTGACTCGGAGCTTGGTTCAGACTGATCAAGCTAGGAGACAACATTTTTAAGATGTGGTTTTCGGATCTCAATGAATGAACTAAGGAAGTTGATGCCAGGACTAGTTTGCTAATCACTAGGGAGGTCAACTAATTGGATATGAGCAGAGAATGAGTGGCAGAGACTGATTCAATATACTCCCTTATCTTGCAGTCTAATGGTGGGCATTTCATGACAAAAACAGTTATGGAGAGTCTGTCATCACGGTCAACCATTCGTTTTGCAATCTCTACTGCGGGTACAAGGAGGCCAACACCTGGTAAAGAGACAAAAACAAGCTTCGATTTCTTCAATAATGTCTCCTATGCACATCTGCAACATGGGACAGAATTCTGTAATTTTTAGTTTGTATCATCTCTAAAAGAGTTCATGGATGAGAGTGTGTGAGTTGTGGCACGACGAAAAATGGAGGTAAGACTTCCGGGGTAAAATGCATCACTAATTATTATTTTTTTTCTGGACCATGGCCCATCTTGAAATAGACAAGGAAAAAAGAGGCAAAACGTGGCATATTCGGATGTGTGAAGGCATAAGAACGGTAAGTACCTATTGGATCAGCATTAAGGACATCCCGGTATCCTTCTCTGGAAGCTCTTCCCTCTTTTCTTTTCCATGAAAGACAAAGTGGATGTGTAGTGGAAAAAAATGGGAGTGCATGACACAGTCTTCTCTGTCACTGTATGTTTAAAAAGAAATCCATGTGCCCTGAAGTTGATGATGCTTAAGTGACGAACAATGCAGGAGGACTGCTTCCTAGACTGGAAGTGCTAGGCCATGAGCTGTACATGATTTCTTCATATTCTGCAAATCCAGATGACATATGCCGCGGTCAAAACTAGCGCACTTGCATAAAGAATATGCATCACAGACTTAAAATATTGATTGCGTCTCTTTCGTTTTGGAAATGAAAAGGATAAATAAAAGCTAATCAACATCCTCCTTATTCATAAAAAAACAGAAACAGAAAGAATAATGTATTATTCTCCTTTCTTACTGTAACAAATTTTCCCCATCATCCATCTTCATTTGTTCTTCCATTTATATGCCAAACTGATTTAAATATTTGCTCTAATCATGCATCCCAGATTGTTTGGGAAGAAAAAAAAAACAGGTCTGAGTTATCTGCATGTAAAATGGTCAACAAGGTTTGTTAACAAGTATTCCAGGTAAACATAAAAGGTTTGAACTCTTACGAACAGAACGATCCAGTATTCAGGAAATTGCATACAGTTTCCATTTCTCTTCAGTTTAGACACCCATAACTGCTAGAAACTTCTTCCAGTAAGAATCTGAATATGACACCATTGACCGCGTGCATAAGAGACGAATATGACACCATTGACCGCGTGCATAAACTCTCTGACCTGAATAGATAGGTAAGGAGGCTTTTTAAAGGCTGCTTCAGAATTCAGAGAGCTTATCTAACCCCATTTGGCTGGTTCCCAGTAGCTGAATATGACACCATAGACCATGTAGACATGGGCAGCAGCCAGAAAGAATCTGTTTTTATCAAACAGATTTATTGACTGGTTCCAGAAATCTAAGCCTGCAATCCAGCATAGTTTCCAAATTGTTGTACTGGACAAACATTCCACAGATAACCGACCATAGTTTTATATCATATACTGAACAGTACAAATGCAGCCACAATTAAAAGCAGGAAGCAGCTGCAAGTAGCTAACTATACCGAGTTTTCCAAAATGTAATTTGTTAGACAATATTCCCCATATAACACCAGAAACGTCCTAGAACTTATTCCAATTCATTCAGGGATTGATTTGAGGACTACGATCACTTTTTTTCATCTCCATAGCCAATCCTGCCAACATTTCATATATTTTATCAGAGTGAAGGTGGTCTTGATCTTTCGATGTAAAACGGGCCACAGAACCTCCGATATCAATCCAACTGGAGCCAACTTCCTTTTGCAAACCCTTTTCCCTCATCTCTCTCCTTACTTTATCAACATTCACCCAGTTTCCTTCCTCTGCATATATATTGGAGAGCAAAACATGATAGCCTGTAATGTTGCCTGTTTTCTCCATTTCAAGCAACTTCTTGGCAACAACTTCTCCCAATTCCACGTATTCATGGAGTCTGCAAGCCCCGAGAAGTGATCCCCAGATTTCCAACACATTGCCAGCTTCACCCAACTGTTTAACAAACTCGTATGCTTCAACCACCCTACCAACTCTCCCTAACATGTCTGTAACACAGCAATAGTGCGGAGTTGAGGGTTGAATCTTAAAATCCTTCTCCATTGACTCAAATATTTGAAGACCTTCATCAACCAGACCCGAGTGACTGCAAGCTGACAAGACAGCAATAAAAGTTATGGCATCGGGTTCAATCCCGGATTTCTTCATTGAGTGAAACAAGGAGAGAGCTCTCTCGCCCATCCCATGTTGACCATAAGCCAATATCATTGTTGTATAGGTGACAGAGTTTTTGTCTGGTAATTTGGTAAACACACTTTCTGCATAATTGATTGAGCCTGATTTCGAGTACATGTCGACAAGGGAAGTGCTGACAAATATATTTTTGTCCAACAATAGCCGAATGGAGACTCCATGGAGTTGCTTTCCCAAATCTATATTTCCCGCAGGATTGCAGGCTGGGATAATGGTTGCTAAAGTTACAGCATTAGGCATTACATTTTTCTCAAGCATTTGTCTAAAGGTAACAAAAGCTTCTTCTACTAGCCCATGCTGTGCGTACCCAGCGATCATAGCATTCCACGTGGCTTGATCTCTATTGTTCACATTGCCTCTCTCAAAAATCCGTTGTGCAAGCCTAATCAGGCCACATTTTGCATACATGTCTATAAGATAACCATCCATTCCTTCAAATTGCATCCCATGCCTAAGAAGATAAGCATAGGTCTGCTTTCCAATTTCCTGGCTTCTAAGGTTAGATGCTGCAGAAAGTAGAGCAGTCACTGTCACAGAATCAATTGCAAACCCTTGCTTCTGCATCTCATATACAAGCATCAACCCCTCATCATCCATTCCAATCTGTACAAAAGCAGAAATCATGGTATTCCAAGATACAATATCTCTTTCCACCATCTTCTCGAAAACTTCAAAAGAAGTGTGGACAGAATTGCACCTCGAGTACATCACAATGATTGCATTCGTTATCATCACGGGAAATACTGCTAGATTCTTAATCACAAAGGCATGCAGTTGTTGAGCCAAGTCCAAACACTGCAGCTGTGAAACGGCCGTTAAAACCGAGAGAAAGGTTACATCATCAAGAACCGTCTGTTCTGTTTCCACAGCTTTAAGGAAAAGATCAATGCCTTCAATCAAAAAATTATTCTGTACATATCCACCAATCATAGTGTTCCAAATCTCCGTATTCTTCTCCAAACAATGGTCAAAAACCTTCCTAGCAAAATCAATATGTCCAAGCTCTGCAAACATGAATATCACCGAGCTCACAACAAACAAGTCATTCACATATTCACTACCCATTTTAACAAGCATCCCATAAAGAACATCAGCATTCTTAAAATCTCCAACACTCGAAAAAGCAGGAAAAACGTTGACAAAACTAACCGGACTCGGTTTAATCCCCATTTTCATCACCACCCTAAATAGCTTAATTGCTTCTACATATCTTTCTGTCTTCACATACCAAGAAACCATAGTATTCCAAGCAACAACATCTCTCTTTCTCATTGTATCAAAAACTTTATGCACTAAATCATACTTGGAGCAATCTAGATAACTCAAACAACCCACATTACTCAAACAACTAGAGTACATATTCAAAAGGGAATTATAGACAATTCTACTCGGATTTGATAAACACCGAATAAGATGACAATGAATGGCTTTACCAATCCTTAAACTGCGCGTTTCAGCGCAAGCTTTGAGTGTAGAAGAGTAAGTATAGGAATCAAATTTGGTGCCAAGACTTGAACTTTTTAACTTGGAATAGAACAAAATGGCTTCAAGAGGCAAGTTATTGCAAATGAAGCCAATTATGATGGTGTTACAAATGACAGTGGTTGGGCGGGGAAATGTCTCAAACAGTTGGCGTGCAATATGGGGCTGGCCTTCTTGGCAAAGTTTGCTTAATCGAGAGCGAATTGATGGGGTTTTAAGAGATGGGCTTGGTGGTGGCGAGATTCTAAAGAGAGAAGTTTTCTGGGTTTTATTAGAAGGGTCATGGGAAGGTGTGGAGAGAGGGATTGGAAGTGATGATGAAGAAGTAGAGGCCATGGCCATGGATTGTTTGTGTCTGGTTGTGATGTTGTTAGTTTTCTGGTTGGTAGTTGAAGCTCTTTCCTTTCAGGGTAAATTTCAATTTGCCCCTTATCTTTATAAATTTTCTCAGTTTCACTTAAAATATTTGTTTTACCTAGAACATGATTGAACAAGGGTAATATTGAAAACCTTCCAATACATCAAGGGTGTATTTATAAAGTAACCATTCTTCTATTTTATCATGGAATGGGAAGCTTATGCAGCTTAGTTTGGGTTTTTCTGTGCTTGGAAGAGTGAATTGGTGGGCTGGGCTTGTCCTGCGTAAAGAGAAAGAACAAAAACAAAGCCTGGTCAGGCCTTATTGGAGTTTATATAGCTCAGCTCTAGGTCGCAAGGACCAATGTCCCCCATCAATTATGCCCAAGAGGTCCCTTCACTTGACCTCTAATTAAAATCACTTAAAAGAAAAACTAAAAGGGATAAACGAATCATTTATTGTAATTCAGAGTGGTGAAATTATTATTTTACTCTTGATTAAAAAAATTACAGTTCATAGAGTTTTTTTTTCATATTATCGGGTAGTCATTAGGGATAAATTGATATTTTTATATTTTTAGCATATTAAAAAAACTAAATAATCTTTTTTAAAAAATAAACTAGCATTCAAGGATTCCTAGTCTTTTATCTTTTTTAATATAGTAAAATGGCTAAGTTATTTTTAAAAATAAAAATTACTCAACTACTTTTAAAAAAATTTTCATATTTTCACCATCATTTTTTTAGTAATAATTAAATATAAAGTATTCTTCAAAAAAAATTGACAAATATAGCATAAGTTTTTAGTGAATGGGTTGCTTATTTTATGATTTTTTTTCATCATCATTATGCGTGGATCATTGTAATAGATAAACAATAACTTTTAGGGTAATATTTGAATTTTTTTAATTTAATTTTTTTAAATTTTATCTTTTAACATTTATTTACTCAAGATTGAACTCTATTATTTTTTAATTTATTTTTATAAAATTTATTACTAATTATTAAATTAGCATTTTAAATTGTTTTTGGTCTTTTTATTTGTTATTCTTTATGAAATTTAGTTTTTTTATTAAGAAATTTTGTTTTTGAATTAAATTAAATTAATTAACTAAATATATAAGATATTTATTTTATGATTTGTTTTATTTGTTTTCTAGGTTATTGCTTTAATGGTACATATTATCTTTTTCGCGTTATATTGGAGCTTTTCACAATGATATTAAAACTATCTCGGTAAGTTTTCTAGGTGGTGAGGCGATATTCACAATAAAGTGACTATAAATTTCTAACTAACTTTTATTTTTTTTCCTCAAGTATGACATTAATAACTAATTTTTGTAATTAATTATTGTCAAATTTTTATGTTTTATTTTATTTGCTATTAATATCTTTTATTTATTATATTATTAAATTAATTAAGTTTAATGATCAAGTCTTCAGGTTTTCTTCTTCTTTTTTTTTGAAAATATTTATGTTGCTTTAACATTCTGTTTTATGGTAAATTTAACTAGATATGTGGCATAGTACAAACTACTTATTTAGTTTTTTCCAATCATCATTTGTGTTATGTTTGGTTAGTATTTTAGAATAAATGAGTTAAAAAAATACATAAGAAAAAAAATATTTGATTAAAAAGATATAAAATAAATTTATTTATAAAATAATAAATTTTTTATTTTTAAAATAAAAAACACATAAAAATATTTCTCTTTAATATAAACATCTTATCAACGACTTTTCATAAAAGGTTAAAAGTTTTATTTCATTGTTTAAAAAGGATTTTGCACATTCGTCTCTAACATCTTCTGATCAATTCGGCTATGCTCTATAGTTTGTTGACATCTTTGCTCACATATACAATTTCAAGGATGCAGAAACAAAGAAAATTGGCATCATTCCTTACGTATCACATTTTTTGGTTTTATCTTGAGACCGACTTTCTTATATTTGAGAAATAAGTCTCTCTTCCATGGAGTTTTATGGGTGGATATAAACAGTTATGAGAATTTTTTTAGAGTGTGGTACTGAATTAATATTTAATTATAATCCTATAATTTGGAAGTAATTAAACCCACAAATTAAAACCAGCTAAGTCTTGAGACAACACCTCGAGAGGTTAATTATGAGAGCATATATAAAGAACAAAGAAATATCTTCATAGCCACAAGTCGTAGCTCCAAGATGAAGAAAGCACAGCTAGTACTAGTCCCTTCTCCAGGAAATGGCCACCTTGTATCAACCATCGAATTTGCCAAATTCTTGCTTGATCAAGATGAAAGTTTCTAATTAATAACATTTCTCATCATCAAAGCACCATATGCTCTTGACATAGATACCTTCAATCAATTACTCTTCACCGTTGATTTAGTATGAATTGTATCACCCTTATAGAAAAACACTACCTTAGTTCTACATTTTATTCTAATACTATTCATGATATTAATTATATACAAATATATTAATAAAATATATTCATCAATATATTTTAGAAATTATAGAAATTGTTCTCCTTTTAACATGGTGATAATTAAAGATCTTTTAACTATATTTTTTAACAGAATCACTAATATAATGAAAAATTATTGGTAATATTTAGAAAAGTTTTCTTAAAATTTTCATAAAAATTAAATTTTTTTATTTGATTTTATAAAGCTCTCTCATCATATCTCATCAACCCATAATCATATATCATAAAAAACTTAGTAAAAATTTCCATTCATCTACTTTTCGATTTTTTTATTCGTTATATGCCTATTTTATTTTTGTTATTTGAATGCTTATAGTTCAAATATTTTATAACCGGGTGTTTTGTCCCTATTTTGTTCTGATATAATTGTTAAATTAACATATGGCATATTTGTCAAATGTGCACAACTTTTTTGGTTTATTTCTAAATGAGTACTTGTATTTCCTTATTTAAGTATCTGCATTTTTTATTGTTTTTATTTATTTAATTATCTCAATTTTCAATAATTTACTAATCAAATGTTTTTTTAATTATTTAATTCATAGTTAACGTTTCCACCAATTGACATCCTCAATTAAACACTTAAACAAAAAAACCAGAAATACACACGTTTGAATAAAAAAATAAAAATACAAACACTTAATTGAAAATAAATTAAAAAAATTCGTATATATTTGATCAACATATCATCCCATCACATCTTAATCTCACAATCATTTCAGCATAAGACAGGGGAAAACATGTGATCAATTATATAAAAAAAATGAGAATTTAGGTGAATACAAAAATAAAAGTAGAGATATTGAAAAGTTTTATTAAGCTAATATTTCCTGATACATCCCCCTTGACTCCAAGCATCGACCGTTCCACTCCTTCCAAGCTGTAGAGATTAGGCAGGCACGTGTTTTAGGTCATCAATGGGACCATAAATTGATCTCGTATCAGATGAACACGTGATACTCTGACGAAAGAGTGGATGGGCAAAGTGTGGTAGGTGCGCAGTCAAAACATACAAGAGTGTGGAACCTAACTTTAGTGCAGTCAAAACCTGTTGTAAAATTTCAGCCACGTGTAACAGCTTAATTGAAAATTATGTTAATTAATGTCAAATTATGTATTATAAAACATTAAGTTAAAAATTACATCTGATTTTTTAATTCTTTTAAAATTAAAATAGAGAAAAAAATAAATCCAAGTAATCACGACAACTTTATAAAAATTAAATTAAAAAAAATATTATAAAGTATAATTCTCAAACAACTTAATATTGAAAGATAGAATTAAAAATAAAAATTAAATTAAAAAAAAAGATAGAATTGTTGGAGGATGAAATTGAAAAATAATATACATTTAATTAAAAAATAAAAAATAAACAGAATCCATTCGGATTAACTTATCAAATTTATAACTTGGGTCAACTTGATTGGGATAACCCTATGAAAAAAATAAAAAAATTACAAAGCTTAATAAAAAAATATTCAATTAAAAAAGAGTTAAAAAGTAAATAGAGTTAACTCGGATCAACTTATCAAACCCGTAATTTGAATCAAGAGACTAAAATAAAATCAAAGAAAGTAAATTGAAAAATTTTATGAAGCTCAATTTTCAATTATCCTATTATTAAAGAATAAAATTGAAAATAAAATCAATTAGAAAAAATAGTTCTAATCCACTTGGGTTAAATTATTAAATCTGCGATCTATGTTATAAGAACGAGATAAATTCATAAAAAATAAATCAAAATAAATTATAAACCCTCACTTTCAACTAAAAAAAACTTAAAAAATATAAAATAAATAAAAATACTATTCTAATTAATAAATAATATTTTGTGGATATAACTATAACAATTTAGTCATATATCCTTTATATCCTTTAGTATTTTGTTAGTTTATCTGTCAATATTTTTTTATAAATAAGAATAAGTTAGCTTTCAAACTCTAAAATCATCGAAGTTCATTGCTTTTCATTTTTCATTTTTATTTTTTATATCATAGACATATTGACTATTCTCAAAAGTTAAATAACCAAAAAAAAACTCACTAAGTTGAGGTCCTAGCAATCACATACTTAAATATAAGTTATGGAATGCAAGGGGTAGAATTTGAATTAGAAATATCCTTTTCTTCTAATTGACTCATTACAATTTAATTAATATCAGTTGAGGGACTAACTCACTTACATGTTTATTGTTAACTATCCATGTTATAAGAATTAAAAAAAATCATCAGAATTTACCTTTCACCATCTTATTTAAGATTTAAATCTTGCTGGTTTAAAGAAATTGAGTCCTTTAACTATTGAATTAAAAATTTTTTATATAATTATGAGATTTTTAAGTAATTATGTTATAATTAATGGAAAGTGTCTTAATTTTTTATGTTTGTTATTTTTATTAAGATCTTTTTCTTTAAGTCTCTAAACTCGAGATTTAACTTCTTTAAGTAGTTAAGAGTATTAATTATTTGGATTAATAATTTTATTTTTAGAAGATTAATTATACTCAATTAAAAAAATATTTAAAACATGAGAAAGAAAAGGTTTAGGAATTAAGATGGTTGTACACTATATTATACTTAATAAATCTTATTAATTAAAAAATTAAGAAAAATGAAAGCATTTGATTTTAGAAATCTTTATTCCTTGGATTTTTAACCT